ATTCGCTTTTCCTGGATGATAATTTAGACTGAAATCATAACCCTTCAAGAATTCTAACCATCTTCTCTGCCTCATATTCAGCTCCTTCTAATCAAACAGATACTTCAAGCTCTTATGATCACTGAACACCTCAAACCTCGAACCATACAAATAATGCCTCCAGATCTTCAATGCAAAAACCACCTCAGCCAATTCAAGGTCATGAGTAGGATAATTTCGCTCATGCACCCTCAATTTCCGCGAAGCATAAGCTACCACTTTTTTATTCTGCATAAAAACTCCGCCTAATCCCATCTTAGACGCATCACAATACACCACAAAAGGCTCACTCGAATTTGGTAATACTAACATCGGCGCTGAGGTTAATCTCTTTTTCAGCTCCTCAAAACTCTCTTCACAGGCAGCATCCCACACAAAAGCTTGATCCTTTCTTGTTAACTGAGTCAATGGCAACGCCAAACTAGAAAATCCTTCAATAAATCTCCGGTAATACCCTGCCAAACCCAAAAAGCTTCTAACTTCTGATGCTATCTTCGGTGGTTCCGATTGCAACACCGTACTCACCTTTGACGGATCTACCGATATACCATCACCGGATATTACATGGCCCAAGAAACTCACCGTCTTCAACCAAAACTCGCACTTGGACAGTTTCGCAAACAACTTATTATCCTTCAACACTTGTAAAGCAATCCTCAAATGTCTTGCATGCTCTTCCTTAGACTTCGAATAAATTAGTATATCATCAATGAACACAACAATAAACTGATCCAAATAATAATGGAAGATCCGGTTCATGTACTCCATAAACACTCCTGGCGCATTAGACACTCCGAAAGGCATTACCGCATACTCGTAATGTTCGTATCGAGTCTTAAACGTCGTCTTCTGAATATCACCTTCTTTCACTCTGATCTGATGGTATCCCGACCTCAAATCAATCTTACTGAACACACGAGCTCCCACCAACTGATCCATAAAATCATCAATCCTTGGAAGAGGATATTTGTTCTTGATGTTTACTTTGTTCAATTGACGGTAATTGATGCACAGACGCATACTACCATCCTTCTTCTTCACCAACAACACTGGAGCTCCCCACGGCGACACACTCGGTCTGATAAAATTTCTATCCAACAACTCTCCAATCTGAGATTTCAACTCGGTCAATTCCAATGCCGACATCCTGTACGGCGCCATAGAAATAGGCCTCGTACCAGGAACAAGATCAATGCTAAACTCAACTTCTCTCTTCGGAGGTAATTCCGTAATATCATCAGGAAACACTTCCGGAAACTCATTCACCACCACCGACTCTTCCAACAACGCCTTGCTGTCAACCGATAACGATGCAAATAAAGGAAACACCTTAGCTTCGTCTTCCAACAAAACCCTCAATTCCTTATTAGACAAAGAATTTGCCAATGCTTCCTCTTCTGGTGTAAGGAACAATAACACCTTCCAAAAACAATCAATGTAGACTCGGTTGAACTCCAACCAGTTCATACCCAGAATAAAATCCAAACCACCAAGTGGCAAACAAATAAGATCTACCCCAAAATCTCTACCGAAGATAGTCAGTGGACACTTCAAACACACCAAAGAAGTAGTCACTGAACCAATAGAGGGAGTTTCAATAGTCATCCGCCGCTCAAGAGTGGACAACACCAAACCTAGCCTCTTCACACAATAAACAGAAATGAACGAGTGGGTTACACCCGTATCAATCATAGCAGTCAAGGGAACATTATTGATAAAACAAGTACCTTTGATAGCACGCTCCTCATCCGCTGATTGAGCTCCCACCACAGCAAACACTTTACCACTAACCTGAGGCGCCTGAGTCCTCATCGGCTTCTCACAATGAGTGCTAATATGACCTTTCTCACCACAGTTATAACAAGTAGGCATATTAGTCCTGCACTCCGCCATCACATGGTCTGACTTCCCACACTTGAAGCACTTCTTCGCTTCATGAGGACAATCACTAACATGATGCCCCACGACACCGCACCGATAACATTTCAAATCCATCAATGCTCTCCTCTCTCTGAACTTCTTATCAGCAACGGCCTTCTGCTTTCCTTTATCAGCCGAAACGCTGTAAGGAGTACCACCAAACCTCGACTTGCCCTTACGATCATTCACCGCCTTATGGTGTGCAATCCTTGCCCGGTTGTCATTATCATAAATCCTGCTTCTGCTCACTAGCTCAGGATAGCTCCTGATCTTCTGACAAGCGATTCCCATCTTAATCTCCGGACGCAGTCCATTCTCAAACTTCAAACACTTGGAAGTCATTGCCCCATCAGTATTGTAATGAGGACAATATTGTGCTAGTTCTTCAAATCTAGCAGCATACTCTGCTACCGACAGGTTACCCTGCTTCAGCTCCAGAAACTCAATCTCCTTAGCACTTCTAATGCCTTATGGGAAACACTTCTCCAGAAAAATCAAGAGTATTTGATTTCATTTGTGTCTCTGAAAAGCATCAATGTCTTTATGATTAAGGATCAGATATAAATGGTTCAAGAGTTGACTTTTTGTAGTTAGCCCTTTTATTCATAAATTCCAGTTACATTTCATTTGCATCGTCATAGGTATTTGTTTCCCACAAACATCTATGTTTAACATCTTTCTAAAAATCAAAAGGATAAAAGTTGAAGACTTGTTTCCTTCTTACCATTGGTCCTAACTCACCATTTTAGGCTAGGTCAACCATTGGCATTTCATTTCATTCTCATACATGATGCGTTAGGGTTTTGTATGATTACTTTCGTCTATCACAAGTTTAAGACAAATTGATTTTATCTTGCAAGCTCATTGGTTGAGAGCATTTGGCCATTGGATTAAGAATGTATCATGATCATTTTACTTGATTTACCTAATCTCATTCATGCATGCCAACTTAATTCAAAAAATGTCATTTAAATCCATTTGACTTCATTATTTATACATAAAATCATGCATACATATATGGAACCATGTGGATAAAATTGGAATGGACTTAGACTTGAATGTGAAGTAAAGAGATCTTGTTATATAAGTGGAACTTTTTAAATTACAAAGGACCATGTATGGTAAAAGGAAATACATAAGCACCATTCAAATTTACATTTCAAACACCATCTCCAAAAGCTAATACAAAACCACCTAATGCTAAAATATTACAAGTATGTATATTGTAACACCCTGTTTCCCAAAATTAAAATAAAGCAATTATCAGAGTTCTTCCCAAAACGGAATGTCACTATCATCAAAATTTTCCACAAAATGTTACTTTAAATAATTTTCAATAAAAATGCAGCGGAAAAATTTGTCATATAAATATATACATAAACATCATCTACATGAATTCGGCCATCCGCCCAAAATATACAAACATATACATATCCACAAGATCCAACAGAACATGATACGACACGAAGGCAAACAAAATCATCAGACAGATAAATAACTCCCAAAAGCCCCGTGTTACTGTCATACCCCAAATTTGTCCTACCTTTTTTCAAAATTCTCATTTGCCCGACTTTGTTTTTAATTTACCGCGCTTATACAGCGTAGCGTATTTTTCAGCAAAAACAGGCATTTTCGCTTTTTAGCCCAATAAGAGCATGCCACGTGGCATCTTTTTATTTGTTTTTATTTTATATATATATATATATATATATATATATATATATATATATATATATATATATATATATATATATATATATATATATATATATATATATATATATATATATATATATATATATATATATATATATATATATATATATATATTTTATTTTAAGATAATGTAATATTTTTTTAATTAGGTTAGATTTTTATTTCAAAATTTAGAATTTAAATTATATTTAGATTAGTGTTTTTTTTATTATTTTATTTTAATTTTTTAAATTAGAATAGATTATTAATTAATTAGATTAGAATTGTTTAAGATAAAATTAAAATAAGATTAGGATTAATTAGTTAGATTATTAGTTAATTAATTAGAAATTAAAAGGAAAATTAAAAAAAAAAGAGAAAAAAAAAGAAATTAAGCGAGAAAACACGGTTGATGTGTAGTTGGATATAAAAGGGTAACCTACCCTAGAGAAGAGGGGAGGTTACTGTTCACCGAGTCCTAGATTGGGCCGCCCCCTTTTAGGAACCCTAATTTCGGAGCGTTGTTCATCATCACCCCAACGGAAAACCCTAACGGCGCCCACAAACCCTAAAACCCTGTTTGCCGCTCATCCATCATCCCAAAACTCTAACCTCTCTTCTCTCAGAATTCGTCGTTACCCAGCTAAACCCTTCCACCTCCATTTTTTTTTCATTCCCACCACCTTCTTCTAAATCTAGCAACTCTACCCGATCGCTAGAAATAAGAACCGAGAATCCAAGAAGAAAGAGAAATCTCCCAGTCCTGTTGATTCCGTCGCTGATTCCGGCGATTTGAATCGGAAGAGTGAATGGCCGCGCAAAAATGGTTGAGTACGTAACAGATCCGGGATTGGTACAATGAAGTGTTGCGGTAACGAGCCTTCTTTCGTTATTAGTTTTTATTACCAACAGGGATCTTGATGACCATTTGGAGGTTCCTAAAGACAAGAAAGTTCAAGAGGCTCTCAACATTGAAATTGTTAGATTTCAGATGTTTTATTCTTATGAGCTGTGGAGTTGTTCTTTTTTCAAAGAATAAATATCAGCTTAGCATATCATAGGATCCATGGTCGAGGAACAATAAATTTGTGTTGGTTTACAATGTTTCAGAAGATATTTGATAACTGTGTCAAGGTTTAAAGCGGAGAAGGACCTTGCAAAAGTACAACAAAAAAGATTCTACAGCAACTACAACAATAACAGAGTTGTAAATCGGGTCCGGAAGCATATGAGGAGTTCAAGCATGTTTGCTCGCATTTATATATGATAAGGAGGATAAGACCTCTCCTGTGGCAAATGAGTGGTCTGAAAGGAGGCGGCTTGACTTAGCTGGATTTCTATCTTCAATGTTAAGAGCTCATTTAAATGCTTATGATCCACTTTTTTCAATGGCTCTGGGATATTTGATAAGCATACACAGGACATATTGTTTGCGTCAATGTATTACATCACCCCTCTCTGATCTGACTGAAAGATTGCTCCTGGAGGAACGTGACCCACCTGCAACGCCACAGGACATATTATGTGAATTGCCGCCATTTGATGAAGTAGACATACAGGCTCTTGCACATGCTGTAGAGCTTACCAGATAAGGGGCAATAGATAGCTTGAGATTCACGAAGGGTGATTTGTTCCTGGAATTTCAGAATGAATGGTGCTGGATGAGATTGGATGTCCCATTCCTTGATCAACTTGTTCGTGAGTATTGTGTGTACCGAGGCATTGTCAATTCTGCATTTGGGAGGCAACATTTACCAGAACCTGTAAAACCAAACCAACAAGACCCTGGCTATTGCTCATCAAGGGATTGTTCTCTTGAGCTAGATTATAATGCCAGTAAACATTCTGATGGTGAAACTTCAGTTACCAATGCTCAGATGGACGACTCTCCTGAAAATAATGTTGATGTGACGAGCATGCAAGGAATAGATTTTGAAGTACGATGCGCATCTGAGCTTGCAAGTATTCATGAAGACTGTGGCACCAGTGGGTCGCAGCACCTTGAAGATCCAAATGTTTTGTATCGAAGCAGATTTTCTGGAAATGGAGAACGGGCAAAGCGTAAGCGATGGGGAGGACGATATGATGACAATAGTTATATGGCCAATGCTCCTTTGGAAGAGCACAACAAGCAAGAACATAGCATGAGTACCACTGTTTCAACTTTATCCAAGGAAAAACAGGGCTCTGAAAAGCTTTCTGCACAAGATGGTAGTAATGTAGAAGAATAAGTATGAAATTCTGTTGGGTATGAAGGAATTAGCTAGCAAAGGAATGGCTGCTGAAGCAGTTCAAGAAATCAACACTATTGATCCAAATTTCTTTGACCAGAACTCTGTTTTGCTCTTCTAACTCAAGGCAGCAGAGACTCAATAATGCCTAGCAGCAACAGTTCTTTTTTCGATTGGCATATGAACAACACAAAATGGAGGCAGAAACAGGTTTCTAGTAGTTCCTTTGCTTAAACCATGGATGGAGAAATTTTCTTCTATTCTAGTTCAGTCAGAAAATCCAGATGATTGGAGTATCAGAATGGAGGTCCTGAAGTGTTTGAATCAGCTTATTCAGAATTTCTCAAGTGAATTTGAGGTTGTATTGGGACCATTGTGGAATACATTCGTCTCCTCTTTGGGATTTTATGAACTGGCATCTATTGAAGGAACAGAAGATTCATATGAGGGAAGATAGGATTCAGATGGCTCAGAAATAAGCCTCGAATCATTTGTTATCCAGTTGTTTAAACTTCTGTTGACCATTGTGGGTAATTCAAGATTAGGAAAGCTGGTTACAGTTAATGTCAAAGAATTGGTGTACTATACAATTGCTTTTCTTCAAATGATAGAACAACAGGTTCATTCGTGGTCTGTGGATGCCAACCAATTCATTGTTGACGAATTTCTGGTGTGCTTTTACTGGAAGAGGCAATGCAAGCTGGTGGAGGGTTAATGAACAACTTAAAGCAAAAACCGCAGCTACCGACATCAACGCCGACACACTCAACTTTTCATCTCGCGGTGATGATTCAGTGACAACAACGGTTGCGACTTAGCGAAAACCGTCACAAAACTTTCACACACAACCCGTTTCCATTATCAGTGACATCAAACTAGATCGGTTGGTAATGATGGCTTAAAATTGTTAATCGTGATGAGTGTCATGACGTGTTTATTTCTAACAGTTTCTTAAGCCAACTGAGTTCTTTTTGTCACTGATTGGTACTGTATTTTGGTTGATATATTATTGTTCTAATTGCTGTGTATAAGAGAACATTGATGCAGGATCAAGTTGCAACATCAAGTGACGATAGATAGCAGTGGATCTGATGTCCTAAAACGGCGGCGTTGACGCAGATTGACTCTCGACGCTGATGTTCCTCACTGTTACGACTAGAACTGCAACCATGAGTTCAATGCTGATAATTCCGCAACAAATCTCTCCATCTATTTTCGTTCAACCACAAGCAGCTTCAGCCAAGGTTTTCGGTTTCGATTTGGCTTTTGGACTCATGAACCTTGTTGCGACATCGCAAGTAGTTGGATCCAGAAGCACTTAAATTCTGCAATGAAAAGTTGAGTAGCAGCTGCGGTAACATCAAATCACGGTTTTGATTTGAGCAAAGGGAATCTTGATAAAGGGCTATTGTGTGTCTGTCGTGCCCTGTTCTGGAATCAACAACAATAACCCCATCGCAAAGCTTTGAGTTTCTATGTTTCGGCAACGACTGTTTCAGCTTGCAGCTGTGTTTGTTGTGTTTTCGTATTTCGATATGTTTCCATTTCAGGTACAGCAACATTTCAAACAACAACAGCTTCAACATAGGAACGACCTACGTTTTTTCAATGACAACCAGCTCTTTCCCACAAGACATAACAAAAGCGGAAACAAAGTTCATATCTTTCTTTGACAATAACTCGCCGTTTGGTAACGCTCTAATCTAACTCGTAATTTGTTATTGTTTAGAAGTTAAAATTTAGTGTCAACTGCATACATTTTATCCCTGGTTTGTTAGAATGTATAGATCATGTAAATAACTTAAGTTTATTTCTTGGGTTCTGAGTGTGTAAGATGATTGTTTAGTGGATTACTTTAATTTGTTAAGTACTGCTGGAAGATAGTTGTGTCTTTGTTGATGTGGTCATTCCTATCAGGTCTGGGTGTTGTGCTGATTTGACATGATTTGTGTGTCAAGGTGTTAAACTCTTGCTTCAAATTAATTACGATAAAACGCATTACGTGCTAGCGAGTTGCTGCATATTGAATTGTTGGTTTATGATATCCTATTTTTCATTCTTATGTCAGTAATTGTTTAGCAGAGAATATATTTTGGTGTTATTGATAAATTGGTATTTCAAAAACATATTTGGTCCATATGTGGAATCATCATGACACCGCAAATTTTATGCTTTAACTCTGCTGTACTGGCCTTATTTTCAATATTATGAGTCATGTTTTCATATACATTTTGACTTCCGCTGCAGCTGGGTGAGGTTCTGAGCCAATTTCAAGTTGTTTTCATTTGTTTCACTTTAATGATGTTGTAATACTTTTTTATTTGATGGTTGAATTTGTAATGTTGATAACAGATTGATGTTTGCGCCCATTAGTTGATTGATGCAGGTTGCATTTGATTTCGGTGCGCGATCACAACACTAATGTTGATGACAGATTAATGCTTGCGCCTATTAGGTTATTGCTGCAGGTTGCATTTGATTTCGGTGCGCGATCACAACACTGCAGAGCACGCAGGTTCGGCGAGCTTAGTAACGTTAGGTTGGTGTTATCGTACGGTACGCGGCTCGCATTTTCAAACATTGCAGGTGGAGCCTATTGACCAGGTTATTTGGGGGCTCACTTAGATCATTGAAGGTTTAATTTCCGCCACAAGATCGAAAGGAATTTGCAACAATAGTTTTAAACCAACTCCGCAATTACGGAACGGCGTCTTCATATTCGGTTGGTATTTCCATTGGATTCTGTTTATGTTTAGTGTCTTTATGTTAAGGCCTCATTGATAACGATTGCTTTCAGGGTCTCATTTTGGTTATCACATATCATGTTAGTTTCGTAAGAATTTCGACCGTATAAGTGATGTTGGATTAACATTATGTAATTACTGTATATTACTCATATCCTTGAATTTCAGTTTCGGTTTTTTACGGTATTATTACCATTGCTGCTACTTCATTTAAATCCAATTTGTTTGATATTTCTAAGTTGAACTTTGAGGTTTGTTTATTATCAAGGAGAAGTTGTGTTGGTTTATTGGATTGGGTAGGGTTGGTAAATTTATGCGGATTACCGCATATTAATTTATGCCAAGTATTACTTTCAATTTCGATTAGGTCATTTCTTAATATGTTTAAGCGAAATCTTTTTTTTCTAACTAATTACGAAAGTAGTGGGCTTTTGGGGTCTAGCATCCCTTGAGTCCTTGAACAACCGCTCTCGAGGCGCACGCCCTTGAGTTGTGGTTGTTCCGTCTTTCGATTTTCAAATCGTTTTGTTCACTTAAATTAATTAAAATTTCTAAAAAGATACTTAAAAAAATAATTTTTATTAATTAGATATTTTATAATAAATTCCAAATATTTATTCTTTTAAAATACAATACATTTCAAAATTATTACCAAATTAATATTTTAAATATTAAAACTTTTCAAAATTATACTTTATTTAAAACCTTTTTTTTAAGATATTAAACTTTTTCAAAACAATTAATTATAATAATATTTTAAGTATTGAAAAGCTATACTTTATTAATTGAGTTAAAACTTTTCTAAAATATTAAACTTTTTCCAAATCAAAACTTTACAATTGATTAATTAATTTTATAAAAATTAAGGCTATTTTTCTTAATTAAATTAAACTTTTTTTTCTCTCTTAAGTAAATTTCAAAACAATTGAATTCTTGGATCTCGCCTTCCTTGAATTTTTAAGCAACCGCTCTCGAGGTGCACACCTTGAGTTGTGACCCTTCCGATCTTATTTTTAAGAATGCCTAGCGCGCCTAGTCCGAGTACGCTAAACTATTCAAATTATTTTCTAAATCAAATCACGAAAGAATCGAGTTCTTAGAGTCGCGCATTCCTCGAATTTGAGAGTGACTACTATTGAGGCGTATGCCTCGAATAACGCATCACTCGAACTTTTGTTTCTAAAACACTTTCCCTAATTATTTGGACAAGTATTCACTATCCAACAAACATTATTTCATAATTAATGGGATGAAAAAGATTGTCGTTGGGATCTAGCATTCCAACGATATCCCGACTAATTGGTTGTGAGGCCGACGTCTTGCTTATCAAATAGTCGTCATTCCTCCTAAATATACAACCCGTCTAAACCTCGTTTCTCACCCTCGCGTGATCGAATCTAAATCTCCCTCAATACAAACCCTAGCATGTCTTTAAACCATACGTAAAATTCAAACTATTTCTTAACTAAATTGCGAAAGAATGGAGTTCTTGGAGTCTCGCACTCCTCGAATTCTTGAGTGACCACTCTTGGGGCGTACGCTTTAGGTTGTGGATTACTCGACCTTTCGTTTATAAAATACATGTCCTATTTACTTTGACAAATACCTTAATTGTCC